AGAATGATTGTCAAACAGGGACGTATGATGTCTTTGCTCATCTCAATGCATGGTTTGAAAAGATGAATTTACCACTCATTAAAAATAGTAAATACCAGTGCTGTTACCACACACAAACTAAGAGAAAGGATTTCAACTGCAATTTCACTCCTTGGAGACGAGGCAATGGGGAGGACAACCACTTGAACATAGAAGGATTTTAGCTGCCTTATCCATTCCTTGGATGAAGAGGCGAGAAAATGGGGATTATTGCCACTTGAACTGGTACTGAGCACAACAATGATGCATAGAATTATTCAATTTGTATGCAACATGGGATTTTGTGTATAACATTTTGAAGGAAATGATGATAAAGCAAAAGGAGAGGTTTTATGGTGTGATTCGGCCATCAAAGAATCTAAAAAGGAGAATTGATTTAGATCCAGTCAAACTACATCACATAGATGGTTTAAAACGAGAACACAACAAAATATTTGCCAGGTTAGGAAGACAAGAAGACTAAACATTATCCTAGATGATTCGTACTACTTTTCAATAATCTTTGAAATGGTACACAAAATGAAGATTAAAGAACTTACATTACAGGAATGGTAATTCTGCAGTGAGAGCTATCATGACCTGGGAACCAGTGTCTCAAAGAATTAGATTAATTAGTTCTTTGGATTCTTCTCAACAAAAGATTTGAGAGTTTCCATCCAACGGATATACTCGGTTTTATCTTTATTCTTCATGTATTGATGCAAATATTCAGCAAGCTCATCATTTATACCTCTCGCCTCTAAGAAGTCGTAAAGTGAATCCTGCAGTTCATCATCCAATTCCCTGAAAATCAAGAAAATAAAGTATAATCAAATTCCAACAAAATACAACATGAAAGGACCAGGGTTCTATATGTAGTGGTGAAAAAATGTATCAATGGGTTTACGTTTTGACATTGGTGGTGGGATCGGGTGGCAAGTATAAAGGTAGTAGGATCAACTACACAGAGGCCATCATTTTGGATTCCAGACATATTCAGCACTAGTTAAATGCAGTTAATGATTGAGATCTTAAATTAACTAGTAGATCAACTACACAGAGGCCCAACCATTCTGCATATGGTAACTATCTTTAGGTTCATTATATTTTTCAACGTCATACTAAGAATGTTGACCGTAGTTCCATTACGCAAAGTTGAAAGAGGAGAGAAAAATTCACGGGTCAAAAGGAATGGAATTTTAATACATACTTGAATCCAGGTCCAGTATAGGGCTGAATCTTTATTCTATTATGTCCACGTGTAAAGACATTGCGAATCTCAATGCTGTTTGGCCATGCAGAGCAAACAAATTCCAGAACATCATTGTCCTCTCCCTTAAAGATGTCAACGATGATAGTAATGTGAAGCTGCACATCATCCTCTGTAGCAATGTCACTAGTTTTTTTTATGGGAAGAGATCCATCAAACATAGTTACTTCGACTTTGATCTCTTCATTCTCTCCAAATTTCCTGCTTAATCTAATCCACTGCTCTCCTGGCCGTTCATCGACCTTGAATGCGTGAAATTCTGATGTAGGCTGTAATACAGACATATATTTAGGTATTCCAGTATATCATATTATTTGTATTAAATACAAACCAATGCAATGACCCATCAATGCATAATTCCTAGTAAGCATTTCATATTGTATCCTGATAAGATTATTTCATAATACAAACAAAATGACATCACTTGTAAATGCCACAGTTAAGACAACTGAAAGTGATTATCCACTAATGCCCCATCTCATTTTTCTTCAAACCATAACTAACTTTAATGTNAATGCCACAGTTAAGACAACTGAAAGTGATTATCCACTAATGCCCCATCTCATTTTTCTTCAAACCATAACTAACTTTAATGTACAAATAACCCTCTTGTATTTATACACTCAAAGATGATACCCTATATATCAATTACCAAAACGAGTAGTGGACATCATATTGAGAAGACAGCTACTCTAGAGCAGCAACTTAGAAAAAACAATCAGCTATAATTTTACATGCTTTCATCATTGATCCCTTTTACCAAGAATGATCAATGTGCCTACCTATCCTTTAAGAGAAAGCAATGAGGAAAAAAACCTCAGAAACTTAAGAGTTCCTGAACTCACAGTCTCGTCTTTTTATCAAACAAGTTTTAACATTCAAGACGGTATGCTGCAGTCAATTTCTTTCATTGTCACCAAATAGTATGATTATCCTATTCAAAAATACATATCACCAATAGAGTCTGGAGAGGTCCGGGCACAGTGCATAATTGAAGACTAGCAAACTATAAAGTAGGCAACAAAGAAAATCTCCAGCAACATGGGAAAAGGATCTACTTCCTAATGCCACATGTAAAGATCACTTTTATGCAACAAATGATATTGAAACAAGGCAACTGTATTCAGTTTTATGCAGAGAAAGTTGCTGCTATTAAAAGAAACTTACTTCACTACACCCCACACCCAATTCAATCTTTCCGGTTCATTAGAATACAGTACATTTCTCTTGTTCCATGAAATTCAGAGTTGCCCTAGACTACCATGGTTCAAAATTACCAAACTTGGTAAGCATGCTGCCTAATCCCCACCCCCACCAAAATAAAAAATAAAAAATAAAAAATAAAAAAAACAAAATTAAAGACAAGAAAATAAAAATAAACTAAAATGACATAAACAAAAAATCCAATACACAGTTCTCATTTATACTTGACTGATTTGTTTACCTGTGCAAAAGCCCAATTAATACACTCGGAAAAACTTAAAATAAAAATAGTGCTGAAACACATTGATGCATCAGAAAACGCTCACCTCCTCTAGATTTGTCAAGAGACATTACGGTAAGATAAACATTTTTCACATTCACTCTCAATTTCCAATTACTGAGACTTCAGAAATTTAATGTTGATGTTCAAATTTTACTGATATTCTCATACCCATATTTCATATTTGTATAATCTAATTTTCCATCAAATTTATGCAATTGGCAAACATAATATCCCACCGTATTTGAATATCAAGACTGATAAACATAGTTTATAATTAGTATCAAGAAGTCCAACAGTGATAGATTTCGACTATAAACAACATAGGACCATTTTTTACTATCAATATCAATAATTCCACAGTTCCCATAAGTAAGACAAGTTCAGATGCAACGTTCAGTTTAGACAGTAAGTTCAGCAAAATTGGGGCCTTAGATTTCAAATTCATGTAAAATCATTGCAAATTTGAAAAGAACTACATTGAATACCATTTCCCATCCCAAAAAGGACAGAATGCGTCTTCAGTTTCATGTTTCGAAAATACACCTAAATTTCTTTAGTATCAGTCTGCAGTTCTAGTTATTCTTTGTGTACTCGATCAATTTCAGATCAGAAGGCACCCTTAAACAGATTTTCGCATTTCTGTAACATAATAACAACAATGAATAAATAAATTCATTAATAATACCTGTAAGGGAGGAGAGCGGTCGAGCTCGTACTGGATTTCATTGCGTATGAGCCTGAGAATGTTACCTTCGAACGCGGACTTTCGCATTTCAGCAACGTAAGTCCTGGATGAAGATTGGAAAACATTACCAACAGGTTTCGATTGTTGCAGGGCAAGATAATTCAGTGTTCCTCGTAATGATCGGACGAAACGATGAGCCATTCGTAAAATAACAGCAAAATCAATGAGTTTTCCGAAAAAAAAAAAAAATTGAATAGGATTAACGATTAACCAGCAAGAATTCAAGGTTCCTGGAGGTTTAGGGTTTTGAGGAATTAGCTTTCTTCCCCCTTCAATTTTTTTCCTTTTCCATTCCTTTGTTAATCTCACCAACAGTCCGTATACTTTCCTCTGAGTTTCAATTGGGTCCCTCATACTATAATTCATGTCAATTGACTCCATAACATATTGTCGTCAATTTATCTCCTCATTTATGGAAATTGCTTAGTTGATAGTCTACGTTGACTATGTGCTTGATTAAAATCTAAATTAAAGTAAACAATTAATTTTAACTATATATTTTATGGATAAACAACTTCTCAATCACATATTTAATCAATTTTTATCAAAATCTGTTAAACGTCTGATTCTAATTTCTTCAAAACAAGGGTTATTTATGTAATCGATGTGCAGTTGCGGCACTGTAAAAAATGGTAAAATAAGAATTATTTAGGTTTAAACTTATATTTATAAACTGTTAATAAAAGCTCGAGCCACTTTTCCTTCATATAGTTCGAGTGATTCACAATTATTACTCATTCATCCACGACATATTTCTATATATTTATAATTTAAATTGTTTTATAAACACTTATTAAACATGCTACGACTTTTTTATTCCCTTCTTTTTTCAATTTTAACATTATTGTGAGGTGTCATGGTTTCAAATTGGTATACAACATAGCAATTATGTGTTAGAGCTTGTTTGGTGTAGATTTTGATAATTGATTTTTTGACCATTAAAGATAAAAATGAGTTCTATCTGTGAGAGAATAATTCAAAAATGACGAATGAAATAGTAAAATAACGGTCAAAAAATTGATTTTAATTGACTTAAAATTCCTACCAAATAAGGGCTTAGATTAATTCCGGTGCGTGTGTAACCGTCAATTTTAAGCATTTTTTTATCAATTTCAGAGGCTGTGAGGTGGGGGATTATTGAAATTTAAGAATATATTGTAGTTTATTACTCAATTGATATAAATTAAAGTTCAATGACCTAATCGAGATTTCATTGAAGCTCAATGACCACTGATGAAATTCCAACATGATCTTGAATTAACATGAAATGAGCTCGAACAATTATAAGAACAAAACTTGTACTCTAATTATAATCATAAAAACATTAACTTTATTCAAATTGAACCTAGGTTTGTTTCACAGAGGGCTTATAGACCCCCTCATTATAGCTGGCAGCTCGGTCTCATCGACCTGCATTAAAAAAATAAAAAATAAATTGCGCAAGCCCCATCCTTGTGTGTGCCCTGGCCAAGCCCTGTGATATGCCCCCCGTACGTGAAGCGTCATTCTTGTTGAAATCACAGAAACAAAATTTTATTCAAATGTAACAAGTTTCAAGATCTAACTAGATAATTATATTTGTTTTTACAATACTTCTAATTAATCACATTATAGATTAGCGATATTTCTCATAACAAATTTATATTGCTTCTAATTAATCACATTATTTCTATCCTTAAAATTTTTAAAATATTTCTTTTGATTAGTACTCTTTAGAGAATGTGTTGTTAAAAAGTAATGAAAAGTTTTGAATTTATGTATAAAATATTTTATTATGTGAATGTATATAGTTAAAAATGTGTATAAGAATAAATTAAATTAAAGGAATGAATATCAAACAGGGTTTTGTGATTTCATGCTCAAGAAATTTTACATACGTATGCGGTCCTCTTTGATTTGTTAAACAATAATATTTTGTGAAAAAAAAATGATTTTTTATACTATAATAAATGTAATCAAGCCACAATTTTATTACCAACTGATAAATATATTTAGGTAAATATGTTGAATTAACATTTAAATGAATCCGTAACTGTTTTGTTAAGAGAATAAAATATTGGAGACTAGCTAGCCCATGAAGATTCCATGAACGTGTAAATGTTTTGTTAAAAGGTTAATATCTTGAATTGGTCTTTCAACTTGAGATAGTCATAGTACTTTATACGTGGACAATTATACTTAATGATATTGTATGTTGCTTTGTTAATTAATTGCTAATACGATATCGTTCAAGTATATCAAAAATCATATGAAAATTGTGAATTGTCAATATAATATTCATTACTTTTAAATAGTCAGAGATTATGATATATATTTCATTTGCTTAAATTGATATCAAAATTATTGGCTATGAGTTCATAAGTCAAAAGGAGTCAACAATTATTGAGTTAAGAACAAGATGAAAGATACGATCAATTATTCGACATTGACACATCACCATATCACTTAGTTCATAGAGGTGAAGAGATTGTAGTTTCACGATAAATAAACAAGTTTGATTATGTCACACCACGTGACATTTTTTATCAGACATATTGTCTTGACAAATTATTAGATATCAATTAGGAGCAACGAATATAAATTAATTAATCTAAGTGAATTAGTAATAAATTAAATTAAGGATTTTAATTTATCTTATTTTGATTAAATCAAAATAATAATTCAAGTTATCTGGTATTGTGATAGGAAATCTAATGGATCACACACAAAAGTCGAGAAACTGGAGGAATGATATTAAAAATTAATTAATTGACAAGTGTGACATTAGAAATAATTAATTGCATTGTTTATTAAAATGATTAAGTTAATTAATTAATTTAAATTAATATAGTATATTAATTAATTTATGGACAAGATTTAATTAATTAGATCAAATTAACTAATGGGAGACTTATGTTTAGTGGGTGGGTCAAGTCCACTTAAAAACTATTAATAAACAATCTGAATTTGAATTGTTCATAATACAACTACAACATTCATAATCTCGCAAATACAAGAATGAGAAACATTAATCTCTCATTCTTGATCTCTCTTATGGATTATCGTTGGATGGTGAACAATTGAACTATGATGTGGAATGATCATGATAGATCAAGATTCACAAAGGTGAGAAAAGATCGTGATTATTCGTGATCAAGATTCTTAAAGAAGTTTGAAAAATTATGCTAAAGGTAAAATTTTAGTCATGATTTTTATTTAAACACAAATAATCCTTGAAGGGAATTGAAAAATATTTTAAATTTTCACATGCATGTATAATTGAATTTCTAACCATTCAAGGCATCTTTGATTTTCGAGAATTGAATCCTCGAAATAATCAACAAACTTTCAATTTCAATATTTTTATTTTAAAATAATGTTATTTAGTTTCATTGGGGTTACAACCCCAATTTAGATGGAGTTAATATTAAATGATAGATAAAATTAAATAAGTTATTTAATTTCACATTTCATTTAATCTATTCTCTAGTGCTACCTAAATTAAGGTTGTAGCTCTAGTTAAGTTACATAACATTACTCTTTTACATTTTCCTTCTTTTGGAATTCAAAAGAGAGTTTGATCTCTGGAATGATAGGATATTTCACTTTTTAGATGATGTAGTTATGTCCCAAATTTTTATTAGTAAATTCATATCACCAACTTTTTTAACACAATGAGAGTTGTACCCTTAAAAAAAAAAAAAAAAAAAAAAAAAAAAAAAAAAAAAATATTAAAAAAAAAAAAAAAAAAAAAAAAAAAAAAAAAAAAACTGGTGCATTTTCATAAACGAATGATTACTGTGCAACTTATATCAAGAGCTTTTTGCAAAATAAAAAATGCTTATTAGAAAAATGATTTTTTTTTTGGATGCAGGGGAGGGGGATGTGTGATTAAATATAAGAAAACTTATGGAAAAATATGAAAATTATTTTTTATTTTTGAAAGAATGTATGACTGAAAATAAGTGTGGAGAAAGGAAATTTGCATAAAATCACTTCCATATTGACAGGCTTTTTAGACAATTTTATCACTTTATTCAAATACGATTGTGCTACCTGTACATCTTTTTTTGCACAGAACCTGTACAGGTGTACACACATGGGAATGGATCCCACACATGGGGTCCACCCCCATGTGAGAGCCTCTGTACAGGCCCTGTGCAAAAGATCCTGTGCAGGAGGCTTTTTCCATTCAAATAACACGGGCAAATCGAATTGCTATTTTGTCTAAATAGATGTTTCTACAGTCAAGTGAGGATATTGTGCACAATATTAAAAAGTTAAGAACATGAAACATAAATAGATGTTTCAATATACATTTTCTTGTTACTTTATTGAATATTAGAAAGAAAAAAGTATTGAAGTCCACATTGAAACAACCTAATATCAAAATGCCTTTTCAGTGTTTATTTATTATTAATTTTTTTATTTTTTATTTTATTATTATTTTAAGAATTTGACACACCTATTTGTAAAATCTCATGCTAATTCAAACCCATCTCCTTAACGAAACATTCAAATTAACCCATGTACAATTTGTTTGACATTTTAGATTAAACTAAACAATTAATTCTTTCAAAGTTATAGGTAGTTGGTCATACAAAATATGCGAATAATAAGTAAGAAGTAATGGATCCTATAAAATGTACATATATATGACCAGCTTAAAAAAAAAAAAAAAAGGTTAATTTTGCCAAACATACAAATAACCCTTGTTTGGTCTCCGTTAAAATTAATATTTTTTTTTTCTTATTTTCAACCACATATTTTTAATAAAATAATATTACACATAAATAAAAAATTCTTTCGTTTTTTCAAACCATACATTTTCCCAAAAATTACTATTCTAAAATATATTTCCAAAATCTCATTATAGTAGGGGTCAAACAAAGGCTTAATCTCTTCCGGTTCTTTATCTTCTAACACACCACCACCGCTAAGGTCCGAGTAAAAACAGCTCAAATGAAAAGAAGCGAAGTAGAAAATGAATTATGGAAGTTAAATTCGTATAAACGAAATTGATGCCAAAAAATAGTCTATAAACAGCGTGTTCAACTTTCAACCTTAAAAATAAGAAACAAAAGTGTCTGCAACAGAGAAGAAAATGTCCAATACGGTGGAACACCAAATTCCATAGCTTTAACAGCAGCATACATGATTACAAATTTAATAGGACAACTATCGTACTTCTACTAAGCTAGATTGTACCGTCCGTCCAATCATGTCAAGTACTGCACACCAAACATGCACTTGAGATATTGAAAATTGGGACTATTGTGCCTCCTCCA